CCCCAGAAAAGTTTCACTTCTAAGTGCCAGACATGTTGTAAAGCGTATTGCGTTTACTAAAAAACACTCAAATTGGCCTCTCGAAAAATGGAGAAATATTTTTTGGACAGACGAAAATAAGATTGTGCTTTATGGTGGAAAAGGCTCTCGGGCATATGTCAGAAGACCGCCGAATGCAGAATACAATCCAAAATATACCATCAAAACTATTAAACATGGAGATTGTAGTATAATGATATGGGCATGCTTTTCTTATTACCAAGTAGGGCAACATTCATCACATTACTACTATTATGGACCAACACCTTTATGTTGATATATTGGATAAAGTGATGTTGCCGTATGCAGACTATGAAATGCCGTTGTCCTGGGTGTTCCAAAAGGATGACTCAAAGCACACTAGCAAGAAGTCGAAGAATTGGTTTGAGGAGCATAAAGTGAACGTTATGGAGTGGCTAGCACAGTCGCCAGATCTTAACCCAATCGAGAATTTGTGGGTTGACATAAAAGAGGTGGTTGCTGCTGCCAAACACCAATTTTCCCTGTAACTTGCTTGTGAAATTAATTTCTCATATTTTGCAAAATTTTTTTGCAATACATTCCAACATCAGTAAATATTATATATAAAAGTCAGCAAGAAAAAAAAGCACTAATCTAAAAAAATTTAAAACAATAATAAATTTGTTTGGTTTAGAACCCAAATATGCTATTTCTTTAAAAGTTTCGACATTTTTGGCTGAAAAGTTAAATAACTTATTAAGTCTTACCGCAAACTCAACTTCAAGTAGTACATGTGCTTTGTCAACAAAAATATTGACAAGCCTTTTATGTCAGATACTTTCGAAATTTTGATCAATTACTGATATTACGGAAAGGAGTCGTCTATAAATTACGCAACGCAAAAAAATTTTAAAAAATATAAGTTGCAGATTTTAAGCTCTTTTGCGCTGTGATTTTCATTAAACTGAATCGGCTATTATGATTTTTTATTTAAATTAAGACCCTACGCAAGAAAACCTTTAAATTAAGACCCTACGCAAGAAAATTCCTAAGTCTTTTAGTTATAGTTTTTCATTTTTTTGTTTGGTATTTTATATCAACTGAATTATGTGATCACATCGATTAAAATATTTCTTCACTTATCTACTAATTAATTCACTAATTAATTCAATAACATTTGTAAAAAACCATCTCTGAAATGTAAGTTACCTACAAAAAATGTTTAATGATTAAAAAAAAGTGGAACTACAAATTTATTGAACAAGCAAAATAGCTGTTTAGATTTTTTTACTAAACAGCTTGCTTGTATTTATCACGCAAATACGTATATTAAAACGTAAATTAAATACGTTTAATAACGAGAAAGTTTTTTTTTATTACAACAAGCTGGTACTAGAAATTTAAATAGCAGAAAACAAGATTTACCGCTTGCTTGAACTTGAAATGTTACATTTTAAATAAACATAGTCATAACATTTCATAACTATTCTTCATTGCCACGTAATCGCTTGCGATCAATATTCTTCTATAATAAAATGACATTTGTTGTTGTTTTTGCTGAGACTGTAGTTATAACTTTATTTCTTTATGCGATTTAGGAATAAAGAAAATTATTATTATTTATTAAGTATTAAATATACTCGTAAATATAAAATTTACGAGCTAGTTTTTACTATTTTTAAAACCTTATCTTTTTAAAAATATTTCTTTTGATGACACAGTTTATTACATGATGATATAAGGGTTCGTCGAAAAAGAACGTCAAACAGAATTTAAATAATAATTAGAAGTAGAAAATCATTGGCTTTCTTTCGCTTTTATTTCTTGAAATAAAAGCGGCAAAGTTATATTAAGATTAAAAATAAATTAATTATATTATTCTTAATAATTATTATTTAATATACACTCATTATTTTATAATAGAAAAATATAAAGTTCCTAATATATATTTGCAAATCGGACCTTAATTTGCTGTGCCATTATGAAACCATGTTTAATTTTGTGTTGATTTTATTTTCATCTTCAATGTTACAAATTCCCAATTTCGTTAAAACGATGTTTAAAGTTTATGCCTGGTTAACACCCTGATATATATATATATATATATATATATATATATATATATATATATATATATATATATATACACACACACACATACATATATATACATAAATATATACACAAATTCTAAATATACAAATTGTTTTATCTTACATGTTTTATCAATTAAAAATCTACAGCTCGATAAAAAATTGGGTCCACAGCTTAATAAAAAATTGGATCCACAGCTCGATAAAATTAGAAATGATATAATATTTTTAAATATCTTGAATTAAAATAAGCATAAATTTAAAATTTGTGAATTTTCTTGATGCCACACCTCTCTGAAAATTCATATAAGCTTTTCAAAAACTAAATAATGAATTGTCGTATATCTCAAACTACCCCAAAATTTAAAACAGATCCAAATTTCAATTAATAACAGGCTAAATCATAGCTCCTCTGATGAATATGTATTTAACTCTAACCATATTTATAAAGTTGCCCTTAAAAGAACTGGTTATTTCAATCTCTCTTTTGCCTTTTACGTATTGTAAGTACATTTTCTACACTCAAAACCAATAATATTAAGAGCAAGCTCTTGTGAAACCCAATATTTATATCGGATATAAATAGATTATATTTATAAACAAAAAATAACTACCTTTGTTAAATCCATACTGAGGATTACATTCTAAATATTTCTTTGCTATCAGATCAATTAAAAGTTGAAGAAAGTATCCTCTCTGTTCTGGTGGTTTCACTTTTTTGAAAATAACCCTATATAAAAATAACTAAACGCCTATATATGAATATACAACTTTATATATGAATATACAACTTTATATATAAATATACAACTTTATGTATCAATATATAACTTTATGTTTATCAAATTTTTATGGTAATCATGTATAGTATATGCATGCATGGCGCAGTGTTTACTCACTTGTAAGCTACTTTATGTATGTATTTGTTCTGTTCATATGTTCATATATTCTGTACAAATTATTAAATCAGTTTTGATGCTATGTGAGCTCATTAACTAACTAGACACTCTGACTATAAAACCTATGCTCACCCTTATCTCTATTATTTTGTTAGACATAATATTTTTTCAAATACATTTCCGAAATATCATACCCAATTTTTTAAGGCACTGTTTGCAGTAGCTTCTTTTAATTACTCCAGGTCAGGTCAGGATAATCACGATCACCCTGCTACTGGTATTATGTAACCCAGTATTACCTGTCCCATTCCCTGCTGCCTTGTAGAGTGTGCTTTTTTAGGCAATGGCTAGGAGAAACAAGCTCCAACTTAAAAATCCCCTGCCTTGGGGCTCTTGGTTGAGTAAAGACTAGAGATGGTGTCTCGATTAGAATACCCATCTTGGGTAGATGTTAACTGCATCCAGCTACTGTCTTGTAGGAGGCCTCCTAGGCAAAGACTTTATGGGTAAGCAGAATAATTCTGCCAATCAGACTCGAACCCCTTCTTCAACTACTAGGCTGGTGTAGATGTAAACCTGTATTAAATTGTTTCCTGCCTAGGATGATGAATGCTGGATTTTTTTTTTTTTCCTAAATGCTTGCTGGATCTTCTTGACTCGATTCATATGTTTTTGCTTGTGCCTTCTTGATAGTAGCTATTTAACTCTTCTTGTTATTTCTTAATCAGGGTACAGCTCTAAAACTCAGTTTGATGGTTCTGAAGCTGGCTGGTAGTAAAGTTTCCTGAACTCTGTGGTAGCTCTCAGAGAGGCTAATTGCAAAAACAGCTGCAAAATATCAGAGTATTAACAGTGGGATGTTGCGCTTGGATGGAATCCCTGTTTTATGCTTTTGGTACGCATTGATGAAGCCACATAAGGAGCCCTATGTTACTGTTTAAGGTTAATTAACAGGACCAAGAAGTATAGCTCATTGCTTAGGAGGCTGTGCTCTATCTATGAATGAGTCAAGTTCTCTTTAAACTTAAAACATGCCAAAAGTAACCCAAAATGTTTAACATAAAAAACCATCCCCACCACCTAACTGTTTTAACATATCTTTTACTAATATTTGTGGTCTGCGAAGCAAACTTCCATCAGTTAAATCTAACCTCTTGCAAAATTCACCAGATTTACTTGCTCTTAGTGAGACTAATTTAAATTCTACTTATCCTTTTTCTGATCTCAGTGTTAATGGGTACTATCTTTTGATTTGCAAAGACTCCAATAGTCACATGCTTGGCTTGAGGGTATACATTACGTACCAATTCACATATTTATCATAAAATCAGGTTCGAATCCTTTGACCATCCTTTTATGTGCTTCCGCTTAGCACCTCTCCACAATATCACCTTTCTCTTTGTTCTTTATCGTTTTCCTTCTTCCCAAGACTGCACTCTTTTAGATGTAATATCTGATCAAACTGACCATGCCCTCTCTCTTTACCCCTCTGCCAATATTGTTGCAATTGGTGACTTTAATGCTCATCACACTTAATGGCTTGGCTTTAATGCCACTGACCCTGCTGGCACTAAAGCCTATAACTTATGCATTTCTCAATCACTTAGATAATTAACTTTGTGATTTATTTTCTTGACAACCCTAATCATTTACCATCACTACTTGATTTATGTCTGGTCTATGATCCTAGCTTATGTTCTCCTTTTTCCCTTTTTAGGTGGTTCTAACCATGCAATGATCTCTTTAAATCTTTCATCTCATACTTGCTTATGGCCATTCTCTTTCTTCCATTCCAATTAAACAGGTTGACCCATTGTTAGACATTCAAAAAACTCCAGCTTCATATCTTGATTAAACTCTTCTACAGCTTGTGATGCAGACAACATTCCTATCATAGTCTTACAAAATTGTTCTCCAGAACTCTCTTCAATTCTCTCAAAACTATTTAATAAGTACTTGACTGAGTCTTTTTTTCCTGCCTGCCAGAAAAAGGCATCTGTTATTCCGTTTTTCAAAAACTCTGGTGAACATTATGACCCCTCGAATTATTGTCTGATCAGTCATCTTTCTGTTATTAGCAAGGTTTTTGAGTCTTAAATAAATAAATTTCTCACATCCCATCTTGAGTCAAATAACTTACTGTCAGACAATCAATACGGTTTTTGATCCTCTCACTCTATGACTGACTTGCTAACTGCTGTGGCTAAAAGATTTTATCTTGCATTAGATCGAGGCGGAGAAGCTAGGGCTATTGCTCTTGACATACCTTATATTTTGACAAAGTTTGGCATGCTAACCACTTTATCAAAGTCATCCTCAAAGACTAACACTTTTCTTTATTTCCAGTAACCTTTTGGATACCTCAATGGGATTTTGAACCTTTTGGGATAGAACCTCAAGGTTCTATGCTCCTGTATTGTTTCTTATCTACAATAATAATCTTCATGAAAATTTTACATCTAAAGTAGCTCTATTTGCTGACGACTCAACTTTATACTCATGTCTTGATACAAACTCGTCACATTTTGATTGCTTAGAACAAGCAGCCGATTTTTAATCTGATCCCTCTTTTGTAACCGCCTAAGACTTGCAGTGGCTTATGGATTTAAATTCTGGACTTGAAATCCACAATTTTTGTTAGACAACAAAACTTATTTATTTACTGCAAACAAATATTGGAATACTGTTGGCATATATTGATGAATAACAATCTTTATACTCTCAGAAGTCTAAAAGCACATTGTAAATGTAATTAGACCTGCCAATTTGAGCCACTCTCCCTTTTTTGTAAGATTGCATTTCTTTCTTTTTTCTACAAATACTATCATGGTCAATGCTCAAACAAGCTATCATCTCTATTATGATAAACTAAAAATCATTCTATAATCATGGTTTAAAAACTTTTATTAATCCAGTTTTTTTCACATTAAAAAACCTTATAACTCTTACCCATCTTCATGTTTTTCTTTTTCATAAAACCTACAACTTTTAAGTCTTCAGTTAACCATTTCATAGTATTTAAACTATTCTATCTCTATTTAAAAGTAGCTCATAACTTAAGAGTGGTTGCTTGCAATCTTCTTAAAAGGAAATTTACTATTTATTAAGTCATTACTTAATAAATAGTAAATGTAAGCATAAAATTATAATATATAAAGTGTTATAAAATTTTTTTTAGCCCTGGTTATCAACCCCTGGTAAATCTTATAACTTTGCCGGGGACGGAGCTGGGTTTGTAAAGTCTCATTTTCAGCCTGGGACAGGGCTACGGTCATGTTAAAAATGTTTTAGAACACTTTTTTCCAATTTAGTCATTACACTAAATTGGATTGATTAAATCAGTTAGAAGTGTCAAAAATTTGTGATATATTTTAGTATTTTTAAAACCACAATTGCTTATTGACCATGTATAAGAAATATTTTACAAGTTGCTATAATTTGATATAAGTTGATATAATTGTTCAAATTGTTTAACTATTGTAATAAATCAAATTCCTTCAAATTCAAATATTTTATTTGATAAAATATTTGAATTTGGTGTTATTAGGTTGGTATTAGGTTGTTTTGTCTAGCCTTTTTTAATTATTCTGGAAACATAGTAATTTATGTTAATATTTAGCGAAATGTAATATGTACTTACAATTATCTTTTACTATGTGATATTGTTGCTGCATTTTGTGTTGATGGAGCAAGGCTGTTATAGCTAATTTTTTTTTGAACAAATAAAGTGAATGAAAAGGTATTTGTGAATCCTTTTCAGAACAAACTAAAACAATTTTTTTTCCAAAAAAAAAATTTATTGGCTCAAGGCTCATGCAGTATTTCCACATATCCTCTAGGGTCAGCATGCCAATGCATACATTATTTTCAGTACATACACCAACTAATTAAAACATGGGCTAAACTATGAACATCTATAAACAAAATATTATATAAAAAATTTATTATTAGTCCTTTTAATTTTTTCTGGGAAAATCTAATTCTACATTCAATAAATCAAAAATAACCACAACTGCAGACCTACTTATGAAATATCACTGATGCCAAAAAACTGAAATATAATAGATAATCATATTATTCAGCTCAAACAACTGAGTAATAAAACTGTGTAATAGTTGATAATGGAGCATTTTAAGTATTATTAAGAGCAATGATGACTAATATAATTTTTTTTTATTACATATTTTTTTGCTTTATTACATATATAATTTCAAAAATATACCTCATACTGTCACAAATCGTCAAAGAAAAGAAATTTTGCATTTCAATTAGTTTCTCCAAAATGTCTTCTCTAAAATTCATTATATATATATATATATATATATATATATATATATATATATATATATATATATATATATATATATATATATATATATATATATATATATATATATGTATATATATATTAGGGCCTATTCTAGGAAAATAATTTTTGCAGCAGTAACCCCTCGTTTTGGCTAACTTTAGCTGAAAATTGGCAGTTTTTTTTGCAAAAATAACAATATTTGCCATTAAAAACTTTTAAAAAATCAAATTTTAATTTGGGCGGCATTCCAAATACGGTTGACCCTGTCGAGAACATTCTAGAATAGCCCCTATATATATATATATATATATATATATAATATATATATATATATATATATATATATATATATATATATATATATATATATATATATATATATATATATATATATATATATATATATATATATATATATATATATATATATATATATATATATATATATATATATATATATATATATATATATATATATATATATATATATATATATATATATATATATATATATATATATATAGTCTTGCATGTCTCTTGCGTAGCATCAAAAAATATTTCCCATAAACTGTAGTTTTAAAGAGCGCGTTAATAAACCAGACCAGAAAAAGTTTTAAAAATTAAATTTTTTTTTTAATCGATAGACTGCTTGGCCAAACCAAACCCTCAGTCGATGTAGCAGCACTCTCTTGCGAGTCAGGCTATTTGTCAGTCGTTGTAGCGGCACTCACTTGCGAGTCAGGCTATTTGTCAGTCGATGTAGCAGCATTCCCTTGCGAGTCAGGCTATTTGTCAGTCGATGTAGCAGCACTCCGTTGCGAGTCAGGCTATTTGTCAGTCGATGTAGCAGCACTCCGTTGCGAGTCAGGCTATTTGTCAGTCGATGTAGCAGCACTCCGTTGCGAGTCAGGCTATAAGATAGTCGATGTAGCAACATTTACGCATGTTTAAAAAATGTTTTTTATTAAATCAATAACAAAAACACCACTAATTAAAAAAAACTTTCTAGTCGTTATAATTGCGGTTTTTTAAAAATTTTTTAAAAAACAATTAAATTTAATGTACTTCCGCATAAATTAATTGCTTTGACATTTCGATGACAACCAAAAACAGCTTAAGAGACGAGGTAATTAAAATTGTAGTCGTAAGAGACTTTTTTTACATTAAAATGCTCTTAAAGCGACACTATATGAGTATATATATATATATATATATATATATATATATATATATATATATATATATATATATATATATATATATATATATATATATATATATATATATATATATATAGGCTTGGTCAGGAAGCGGGAGCGATCGCTCTTGATCGCTGACCACAGAAATAATATTTTGTTGCGAAAAGCTGGCCAGATTTTTTAGTAGTTTTGAGAACATTTCAAAAAGGAAAAAAAAAAAAGCGCAATTAATTAATTGGACCGATAAGAGACAATTACGAAAAAAAAAAAAAAAAAAAAAATAGAAAAAAAAAAATCTTTTAATGTGAAAAAACTTAAAGTAAAATAAATTATGTTTAGTACAAATATTTTTGAAACATCGCTCTTTTATAATATTTTTATAAAATTAAGCGAGGTTTTTTTATATAAAGTAACATCTTACGATTGTTTAAAAAGGAAACAAATGTTCTTTATTTAACAAAAAGTGTAATATAATATTTATTTATATACTCGTGTCTTATTTCCAGCGCTAGATTAAGGAGGGTTGGGTTTAGAGGGGGATATAGCCCTGGGCCCTGCAATGTTAGGACCCCCAAAAAGTAAGGAAGACCTTTTTGTTTAGTCATTTTTACGCTGTGATACATACAAAGGCATTCAAAATAAAAATAGACCCCGGCCCTTAAAAGCCTAACAAGATTCTAATGAAAAAAAATGCGAGTTTTATCTAAGCTAAAATATTTTATAAATTAAAAAGTTAATTTTTTTAATACCTATTTAATGTTTCGCGTAGTTTGAAAAGTTTAACAAATTTGAAACAATTTTTCTTAGTAAGATAAATAAATGAAATAATTAAATCATTGAATTACTATAGAAATTAAAGTAAATAGATAGAAATCCACTAAAAAGGTTAAAAATAATTTATGACGAGGAAGCAAAAAGGCTTTACAATATCGCTGATGATGTTTAGTGAGTGGGCTTTTTAATTTTAATTAGTATTTAAAGCAGAAAAAAGTATATCTAATAACTTGCTATATATATTTGTGTTCTATCGTGACCTAAGGCACGGTGCTTGTTCATCTGCGAGTTACTTTGTATGCATTGTTTGTGTTAGGTAACCAGAAACTTCTTATATGTTTGTTACATAATTAGTTTTATTAACTTTAATGATTATTATTAACTTCATTTAAAACGCAATTATTTTTGTAAGCCTTTGTCTACAAATTAAATCATAAAAATTGCTTTAAAAAATTCAATAACATTTCAACAGAATACTCTAGAACTTTATTATTATTAAAAAAAAAAAAACGGTTTTAGGCGTTAAGAAGGATGACTTTCCCATATTTTATGTGTTTTTTCTTTTAAAGAGGAAAGAGAAAATATGTATCGCTATCTGTTTGTAAAATATATTTGTATAATTATTATGTAACAAGTTTATATCAAGAGTTAAATTATACGATCACGTTTGCAAACTCTGGTAAAATATTAGGTCTTTAAAATTTTAGTTCATGCAAAGCTGTGTACTTTGTTTATAAGGAGCAAATTATTAAAAGTTTGCTAGCAAGAAAGTTACAAAAAACAAAACAAAACAATAAACTTACGACTATAAAAGTAATAACACTTTAGTCACTAACTGCATTATAAAATTAATAAAACTATAATAGTTTTATTACATTTATAAAGCACTTATTACTTTTAAAGTTCATTCTTTGTTCAAAATTTTAGTTCATGCAAAGCTAATAACACTATTATAGTGTTATTTATTATGTAATAACACTATTATAGTGTTATTACTTTTGTAATGCAGTTAGTGACTAGAGTGTTATTACTTTTGTAATCATAAGTTTATTGTTTTATTTTTTATTTTTTTGCTAACAAATTTAAGTTGATTCTCCCCTTAAAAACAAGGAACACAGTTTTGTATAAACTAAAATTTTGAATACTAAATATTTTTCCAGATTTTGTGTTTTGCATTCGCTTAATTCAACCCTTGTTGTTACATTAAAATTATACAAATAAATTTTACAAACACATTGCAATTTGTATTTTTGCTATCCTCTTAAAAAAAAATTAAGAAAAGGAAAATCATTCTTTTTATTGTAGACTTCAAACTGTTTTTTTTTGCTTCTCCTTATCTAATTTTGTTGCTGAATGTAACTCTAAAGAAACAAAAATAAAAAAAGTACACAAATTATTTAAATTATTAACTTTTTTTTATTTTTTTTTATTTCAATCTCTTTTTATTTTGTTAGTTTTGTTTTTTTGTTTTTGAAACTTTTTCAGTATTATTACAAAACTTGCAAACGGCCGTGTTCACGTTTTCTAAAATATTATAATCGTGTGTGGTCATACAAGAAAAACCGCACGCCTTTTCTGGGAAGGCTTGATGTATGTCCGTAAAACAAATTTTTTGTTCTGTTCATAAACTTAAATGTTCTCAAAACGACTAAAAAACCTGGCCAGTTTTTTGCAACTAAATATCATTTCCGTGGTCAGTATTCAAGAGCAATCGCTCCCGCTTCCCAACCAAGCCTATATATATATATATATATATATATATATATATATATATATATATATATATATATATATATATATATATATATATATATATATATATATATATATATATATATATATATATATATATATATATATATATATATATACATATATATATATACATACATATATATATATAAGTCAAATCAAAGAAAATGGAATTTGAAAATAAATATAAAATAAACCTTTCTACTAATAAAAGCTGAACACTCCTGCTATTGAGAGATGTACCATTTATAAACTTTGCAATATCTTCAGATGTATCTTCCAGGACATTATTCATAAGCAGAAGTCTTATACCCTAAACAAGCATAAAACCAAGATATCCCTATTATATAATTAAGAATAAAAAATAGAACAAAAATTAAAGCTGTTTTAATTGACTTAATATTGGGTCTATACCTCATGCGGTTTGAAAGCAAAAAGCAATGTTGTTTCATCAAGAAGCAGATATAAGCTCTTATAAATTGGTTTCTAAACATTAAAGAAAAAATAAACAGCAAATGAAATATCTTACAAATTTTTTAGTAAATGAAAAAGAAGTATAGAGGAGCAGATACAAGGTCTATAACTTTTTTTAAAATAAGAAAGAAGCATTGAGAACCAGAACATCCTCTTAAAAATCTGTTTCTAAATGAGAAAAAAGAAGCATTGTAAGGCAGATATAAGTGTCTAAAAATCTTAACAAAAAGAGACAAATATTAGGAATCAGATATACATTTATTAAACCAGTTTCTAAATAAAATGAAAAAAAAAAAAAAGAAAAATGAAAAAGCTCTTTTAAATTCAGAAAATAAATTTAAATTAAACATTTTCTATTATCGCAACTCTTTTCAATAACTAAAAAAAAAAATTACCTCTTTGAATATTTGTCTGCAAAAGCTGGGTTCCTTAAGTTTATCATAAATTGAAGTATAACTCCATTTTGAATAACATAACCTTTAAGGAAATAATTTATAATATATTATTAAAATATTGTATAACGATTAACTTCCACCTTTTAAATTTAAAAATAAAATAAACAAACAATTAACACACACAAATTGTATTACATCACCTAAGATTATCCCCATTAGGAAGTGATAGGGGCCCCAGCTAAAAATGAGAATTTTTGCTAACTCGGCCCTGGAAAAATTATAAGGTTTAGCAGGGGTTGATAGCCGGGGCTAGAGAAAAAAATTATAATACTTTATATACAATAATTTTATATTTACATTTACTATTAGTTAAATACATATATTTATATATTTTTAAACTCTTATTTACTTTCAACATAGTTGCAAGCAACCACTATTCATTTATGAGTTAAAACTTTAAAATAGAGGATATGGTTAAAAAGCTAGGAAATGGTTAACTGAAGACTTAAAAAGTTGTAGGTTGTATATAAAAGGAAAACATGAAGAGGGGTAAGAGTTATAAGGACAGATTAGAAAAAAATTTTGTATTCAACAACATTTGTTAGAGAAGATTAAAGTGATCAGCATCAGTGACAAGTGATATGCATATAGAGAGGTAGCAGCTTCAGGAATAAATGGTAAATATATTTAATATATATTTACCATTTGTTCCTGAAGCTTATTCCAGCTATATTTTATCAAACCCGGCCCCAACCCAGCCAAATTTTAACCCTGGTTGCTTACTAACCCCCATCATACCAGGGTTGGAAAAAAACTCATCCTAATTGGGTTTATTTGTTTGTTTTTTTGTAGTTTTATGGGTTTTTTTAAAAACTGTTCAAAATTCTAAACTTTTTTTATTGTATGTTTACTAAACTTTTTTCAATTTTATATATTCCCCTCTCAATTGCTCCAGTGTCCACTACAGTGGTACTTTTTTTAAAAACATTTTCATAATATTTTTGACTAGGAAAAATCACAAAAATTATTTTGGTGACGGAGTTATTTAGAGTTAGTAAGAAATATAAATTAGCAGTGTTTGATTTCACTCTCCTTTCAAGAAAGTGGAAATTTTTTTAATGATCTATGTTTTTATAATGAAAAATAAATTGTTTTACTTATACAATTTATGTGACATAAAAAAAAGTTAAGTTTTAATAAGTTTCCAACTTTCCGAGAAGCGGAAATAGATTGAATTCAATCTATTTCCAAATCCAGAAAGTAAAAAATATTTAAAAATCAATCACTTTTTTTAAGTTTTGACAAGGTAATAAACTTATATTATTACTATTAATTAAATTCGACCTTACTTCTCTACACTTTCCATAGGAAAGTCATTAACAAAACTTTTTTAACTCTTATCTATTTTATCAATTTCTGACCACCCTGAGCTTATTAAGACCTGTCCCAGTTTATTAATTTTCAAAGAAAAAAAATTTTAATGTAAAATTAAGAACTAGTGTGTGAGCTGTCTTGATTACACAAAGCTGTTACGCAAAGATAAGAATCTATTATACTTATAACTAAACTATTTGCGCACTTAGAGCTAAAAATGATTTATTGTTAATTTTAAAAAATAAACATTACCGTTGATGAATTAAAAAAATATTTTTTTAATTATATAATTAAATAGAATTTAATTATTTATTTAATTTTAGGATGTTCTTATTTTAGCGTCAAAAATTATTTTATAATTTTTGGCATTATAATAAGACTCTTAAATATTAATTTAATAAAGGCTGGTATTTTAAAAAATACAAGCATTCTTTTTTTTTTACTATTTTCTCTTTTTAAATGGACTTCAAAATGAATATACTCAGACACCAAACAAACTGCAATCTCACTGGGATAACTTCTAATAAGGAACAACTTCTTTTAACTAAGGGATAACTTCTATTGACTAAGGGATAACTTCTATTGACTATGCTTCAATCAGAAAATTTGTTTTGCACTTACTTTGATCATTTGATAACGATATATTTAAACAATAAGACTATTTTATCAATTAAAAATTTAAAATTAAAAAAAAAAAGGTTGTATAAATTTTTTTTTGACTTTCCAATGGGGAGTGATTGGAAAGTGTAGGGAAGTAAGGTGAGATTTAATTAATAGTTATACTATAAATTTAATTTAATGTAAAAATTTAAAGAAAGTGATTAATTTTTAAATGCTTTCCAATTTCTGGAAATTGGAAATAGATTAAATTCAATCCATTTCCACTTCCTGGAAAGTTGGAAATTTTCTTTTTTTTTTTGTCTTCAAACAATAAAGTATAGTTAAATAAACATTTTCCAATGTAAATACATTTAATTTGCAAACACTTTCCAAATCAAAGAAAACTACTTTCTGAAACTGGTTAGAAAGTGAAATCAAACACTCCTAATATAAATGTTGCAAACTTTTTTTACACTTACATTATACTATCCAGTTTCCTAGAAAAGGCCTAGGCCTGATCAATACTATGCAGTATCTTAATTTTCTTAATGAATAATTGGGGTGATAATAATTATTTTCCAATTTGGGGTGACATAAAATAAAACATGTTTTTATTATTTAGATTATGGATAGATTTGTTTTGCAAGTAGATTTGTGCCTAAGCCTAGATATTTCCTAGCAAGTAGATTTGTGCCTAAGCCTAGATAAACCATTATGGTGTTTTTACCACCAAAATTTTTTTTCCTGCAAGACGCTTTATCACCTCAGTCTTAGTCATATCTTTAGTCTAGTATGTATCTCCAGTCAGTCATATATCTCCAGTCAGTCATATATCTCCAGTCAGTCATATATCTCCAGTCAGTCATATATCTCCAGTCAGTCATATAAGTAACTGTTTGAAAAAATAAACTTTATATTGAGCTATTAAGTCTGGTTTGTCCACCATACTTTTTTGGAACTTGATTGGGGATCAGTTTCATTTTTTTATGTAGTGTTCTTTATGGAATGTTATAAATTTTAGCAGCCTTCCTTATGGTAAATCCATGGTTTTTCACTTTATTTACAGCTGTTTCTAGGTCTGCTTGAGTGTAACTTGTTTTATAATATCAGCTTTATTCCTTTCTTTTGTAATTTCAAGGCAAATTTCTTAAAATTAATGAAAACAACTTAAATTATAGGTAAAAAAACTCCATTTTAAATAAGCAAGTAATTAGATACAGACAAGCTACAACCTAAATTTTGATTTTATTAGAACAATATATACCTGACTTCGATGTGTAGCAACTTGTATGGTGTTTTGTTACAAAGACCTAATATATTACTTAACTGCATGAAATCCTGCTGTTTATATGCAATAGAGAAAAGCTAAAAAAGGTAAATTGTTTGTGCAGCCAAAAAAAAACTTGTATTATATCTAAAGCAAGTGAATCGAAATTTCTGTAAACTTGGTAGAGTTATTTTTATCATAAATAGAATTTTTACTATAAAATTTGTATGAAAGTTTTTTAACCATTTTCTGATATTTCTTTTCTACTTTTTAATTTAGTTTTGCATATATTAAAATTTATTAAATACTGAATTGAATTTATTCATTTATTCATTCAATTTATCATTCAAACAACATTTTTTTAACAAAATTATTTCAAAATTTACAAAATAATTATTGTTTTATTAAAAATATTGAATCAAGTTTCTTTTTAGTAAACTTGGTTTTAATGTTGTTGACGGTACATTGTAAACTTGCAGCTAATATAAAATATTTAAATCTGTAGACAAATGAGCATGATTATCATTTTCATCAGTGAACCCTATCCTTTGTGAGCGCATACAAGTTTCCAACATGTTCTCTTAACAAATAAGCAAACATATTGCAAACTAGCATGCAAATAACATATGGATTTAATACTTTAAGGTTGTATGCACTTTAAGTCCACAGTCTAGTAAACTGTCACATAATTTTTTTTTGTCTCAAAACTTTCCACTTATAGACTGTGAATAAAGTGTAACAATTTTTATATATAGTGTTCTGCTTGTGGCTTAGTACCGAATTTTGCAGTTTACAACATAAACTTTAAAAAATAAAGATAAATTACCAATATAAAATGACAGATCTAAAATGCTTATTCAGGCATATAGGGATTTGGGAGGAGAGGAAAGATATAAAATAATAAGTAATCTCTTGTACTTTGAAATTTAGTTAATAGAATGATTTTATTTTACTTTATAAACATTTAAATAATTTGCCCTATTGTTTTAAGACATGGATTTTGAATTATTCTATAAGGAGTTCAAACTAAAATTATATTCTAAATACCATCTTGTATATAAATACAGTGTATACAAGAGTATACAGTGTATACAAGAGTATTTACAATATAAAACTTGCAATTTGTTTATAATAAAGCATTTACAGGAGCTAAAGTTAGACTTATTAGTTGTAAAATAAAATATAAAAAAAAAAAAAAAACCAAATTTATTTAAATTTTTTTGTTTTTTTAAAGATGGTTTTTTTTCTTTTGAATTAGTTTTTTTTTTGCTAACCCTGCATCATACCAACAAAGATGACGATGTTCAATGCATTGAATATGCCACTGCGTTTATCCCATAATAAATAAATAAATAAAACAAAAGTGAAAAAATAATATATACATATGAACAAAATAAGTAATAATTTTATCTCTTTATAATAATGCTGAACTTAATAGTGCCTATCCGAGCATTTTTAAAACAGAACTCTTGGCAGCCATTACAACCAAGGTAATGGTGAGAAAGAGTCGCAGCACTTTTTTATATAAGAAAATGTAAACAAAAGTGTATACAAATATCTAACTTATGTAAAACTTTCAATTATGTATTGTTCAAACATATATCAGGTTTTACAGTTTAATTTTATTTGAAAATTGCATTGCAGCAATATCTTAATTTTGGTCTATAGCATTTATCTGCCGTTTTAAAAATTCTTTTGTTTCTTAAATACTATTAAAACATTTGACGTATTATACATATCAGTGGCCTAAGTGGTTAACTTGCAGCATTCAGATGCAAAGGGCTGTGGTTCAAATCCTAGCATAGACACTAGGGTTTCTCAAACGGGGTCCCAGGTGGCAG